ATAAAGCTGCTAGAGCAAATGCTAGACTAAGTTAACATGCTACAATCACACCTTCATTTCCTTATGTGGACACGTTTAGACCCAGACTAGGTTACTTTATCAGGTAAAAGCAATTTGTGTTAACATTAGTAAAATATTAACTTTGAAGAGACTCAACTCAGTAAATAATCGTATTGCACATAAAAAGGAGAAATAAAAGTGTATTTTTTTAATTTACTGGTAGTTGTGGATGCCAGTACATGTTCAAGTGGAAGTGTTCAAGGCCAGGCTGGATGGGGCTTTGAGCAATCCGGTCTGGTGGAAGGTGTTCCTGTCCACGGCAGGTGGGTTGGAACTAGATGCCTTTGAGGTCTCTTTCAACCCCAACCATTCTATGACTCCATGAAATACCCCCTCCTGGACTGAATTGTTCTGGGAATCACCAAGACAGAACTAAACCAAAATTTCCTTTTCTGTGTGTGGCGTACCAGCAACACAACAACGCAAACATTCTTAAGTGTTAGGAGATTTTGGGAGGAAGGAAAAACAGTTCACCGCATCTTAAGCCAATCCTTTCAATATTACTTCATCCACTGCTCATAGTAAAATATTTTTTGGTTTATCTGAAGACTGGTTTCACTGCTTCTCCTTTAGTACACTATGAAAATCAAGTTCACAGGTACTCCCATTCTTCTGGCTTAGATATCCAGAATGCAATACTCTGTACAAAGACACTTACAAAATTTAAATGTTATAACTAATTATTTAAATAATGTATTCTTACTGAGGTTTTGTAGTAAGGGATTGTGAAGAAAGCTTAAACTAATCATACATACCAGCACTACCACCTGCCTTGCTACAGAAGCATAGCTGTGACATAATTTTTCTGTCTGCATGAGACTGAAAGCACAGAAGCCTAAAATTGCAAATCAGACACATTATGTTCATAAATAAAGATTCTGAAGTGAATTTAACTCTCAGTGGAACACAATGTGCACTTTGAACAACACAGGTATTTAAAGTTCAATTACACTTTTAAAAGCTTTGAAATTTGAAAGCAACACTTGTAACCTTTTGCAGAACATTTAACTATTAATTAAGGTATATTAAAAAAACTAAAAAAAAAAAATTAACTAGTGGCAGGAATTTCTAGCACTGTGCTTCAACTCAGTCGACTAGCTCAGTTGATATTGAGCAATAATAAGGACGTGGTAGACCTAAAGAATTATCAATTTTTCAGTAGGGGCAAGAAAACCAGGTATTTTGGGTATGGTCCAACCTCATTCTAAGATGGTTAAAATATTTAGCTCAAATGCAAAGGTCTGCAGCTGGTCAGATGAACTCCACTGCCAAGGACTTCTTAATGAAAAGGGTCAAACAGCCTTTCAAACGTTAGGTTTCTTTCCTTAGGCATGACAAGAGTCACGTCAGCCTTCTACATACAAACTTCTTCATGCCACTGAATCCTTCCTGGTTTTCTGTCATCACCTTCAAAACAGACTGAAAAATAAACAAGTTCAAGAACTGCAAGGTCTGAATATCCCAGTTTTGGGGAAGTAAAAGCCAAGGAATGATTCCCCACACACTGAAAAATCAAGATGCTTATGTTCCAACAATGTTTAATTGCAATTATAATGGAGAACAAACTGTAATTACGATGAGAGAAAAACAACTAACCCAGAGAATTATTAACATCAGCAAATCTAAACACGCAAGCATATGGCCTGAATATCAATCCTCAGCTTTTTCAGCAGACCCTAGTCTATCAGATTTCTTCTTTCAAAACAAAAATATGCCCATAGGTAACAACTTAAATTGAAAAATGGGCTCAACAAAATGTCCAGCTTCAAAACACCAGCAACCCTCTCCTCCCTTGCAAATACCTAGGCTAACTAGGTATTGTGTGTGCATATTAAGAAATTTGTTTTCCTGGAAGCACTCTTCATGTCTAGATTTCTGTTTTCAACTATTCCAAATTTTACCATTCAAAACATCTCAGCAATTATCTCTTGCTGAGAATGACCTGAAACTAGAAATTCATGTTCCTAATGGGCATAACTGGATCATCAAAAAGGCAGGACCAGACCATCTGCACACACACACAAAAGCTTATCTTTACTTTTCAACAACAAAGAAATGCAAATGCCAATTTTAAGTAGCAAAAAATTATAAAATTATAAAAAATTCACTTCCTGAATTTTATATCCAACAGATACTGCAAAAGACTACACCCTAAATACTCTGCTATCCATTGACTTCATTACTTCATTCTTAGAATGCAATTGCAAACTAACAAATTAAAAAAATATTATGAAATAGCATCACCAAAAAAACAGGATTTGGGAAAAGGTGTTTTTAAAAGTGTGCACAAGACAGCCACTTCACATTACCTTTATTTTCCCTTCTCAGATCCAGTAACAAAGATGCAAATATATTTTTCTGTTGTATGCTGAAACCATCTCTTTCCACATCTCCCATAAAAAAGTAAAACTTGCCAACGTGTTTTTACACACATGTAAAAGTGTAAGTGTTTTACACACATGTAAAAGGCTTTACAGACGTCTGCTCACAACCTATCTCACAAGACAGCTGGACATCCAAGAATTACTGGTTTTGCCTTGCAGTGGCATACAACTTTGTGTGAATAAACTACTGTCCTACTTCTATATCCAAATGAGTAGTACAGGAACTTCACAGGCAGCTTCTTCCCAATATGCCAAAAGGCAGGGCACATTTTGTTACTCAAGTGTCAGTGTTCAAAGGCTACAAACAGCCAATTATTCAAGTCTAGCAAAGGTTTTCTAAATTTACATTATTATCAAATTTAATATGGAGACAGCTACATCACAGGTACAAAATATGAATTCTCAACATGCATTTTGATCATTATTTATAAAACTAGCATGAAATTTTAATCTTCAGGCATCTACTGCTATGCAATATTAATTATACTCTAAAACTACAGCTCTTAGAATCCACATGTATATATTGTAAACATCTCTAAGGACAAAGAGGATTTAATAACAGATTTTTGCCTGAAACAACTGGATAGTACCTATTCTAAAAGTTATTTAAATGTACAAGCAAACTGGGAACCACTAAACTTCCTCTACATAAAAAGACATTTTCTACCACATTGCTGAGGATGACACTTTTTATTGTTTCCTCAGTAACTTGATAAAGCACCTTATGGGTAAGGCTGCATTACTCTGCTAATTACATTGCATACACATCCTCTAAATTCTCTTCATTTTTTATAGTACCATAAAATGTCTCTCCCAAAACACCAAACACCTTCTCTTTCAGACCTCAGCATCATTCACTATGCCCCATTACTGAGGGACAACCACATCTATCCTAGTCTTACTTTTCTCTTCCTCTTGCAGTAAATCTGGGAAAAAGTTCATTTTTCTAGATTCTTATGGGATATCTGTTCTCATCCTTCCAAAACAATGACATTTTCAATAAAACTGATTTACCAAAACTAGCAACTAAGTGTACTTTCTTGCCAAAACTCTCTCAATAGAACTGACATCTAGTGGACCGTACATAAAATCTACACACCAGAGGGAACTCAGCTCTTCTGTACATCCAAGAAGCAGACAACTTTTAAATGAGCTCTGAAGTGTAAAATATTGGGACATTCTGATGTGAACCTGCCACTTCAAGCTGTTTACAAAATGTAAACTGTGTCGGGGTTTTACAAAGATAATTCCTTTGTTTGTAGAAGAAAACACTTCTATGGATGATGGTTTTTATCCTGAGATGGCTGTACACCATGAAATGGAGCTTCAGAAAAGCTGAAGGTACTGGAGTCAATACTGCCATGAACAAATCTCTAAAAATAAAAATCTTCCCTAGACAAGGATAACAAGATATTAGCTATTAACACACATTCTTAAACATAAACCAAATGAAAATTCTATAGTTAATTTCACTTGGTTTTAAACCTCTTTCACCTTTGGTTCTCTTTTTATGAATAGGATGTATTACATTCTTGTTAAGAGAAATGTCAAGAGACCACTGATTCAAGGTCAGCTCAATATCATCTAAATGAATTAATTTGCAAATGTGCCTTGGTTCAAACAATGAGTAACTGTTTTTAAAGCAAAGTCTTACTCTGTTTTCATGCCTGGTTTAAGTCAGTATTTCCCACCACAACTATGCAGTAACGGTGCTTCGCTAAACCATGAAGGCTTGAACAAATCACAAAGCATCAGCTCTTCCCCAGCAGGATTCTGACCAGTTAAAAGTACAGTCCCATGCATTAAAAAAAAAAAAAAAAAACAAACCCACAGAAAAGACCCAAAAAAACACACCCAAAGGAAGCTGGAAGAGGGAGATGAGAGAACTGGAAATAAAAGATTAAACAAAATGGATATAAAATTTTAAATGCTTCCTGCAGAAAGCAGCTTTACTACATGAAACAACTGAGTGTCTATAACTTTCCGCTTAACTTTCCTTTGGAATCCTCTTTTAACTCCCTACAGTGCAGCAAGCGATTTCTTGACGTGAAAATTTTAAGACATTTGTTATTATGGCAGATAATGTGGGAAGTCAACAGTGTAACCACTTATTTTGTATAAGTTTTTGCTTCGGTTCCTTCTGAACCTGGAGTCCAACCAAACTATTATTTATAATCAGACATTCTTAAGAAAGAAAGTAAAACATAATAATAATATATAACAAAAATAATTTTAAAGTTCCTAAAGCACAAATACCTAAAGAAAACAGACATGCTTCCTGAAAAAAATTAAAATCCTCAGGTGTATTATAGAAGAAAAAGATTCCAGCAATACAACTGGCTGGCTTTCATGTTTTTAAAAAGAATGCTAATTTAAACCCATATAGCTCTCCATGAAGGTAACTGAATGAACAGCTACATCCTTCAATTAAAAAAAAAAAAAAAACAAAAACATTCTTTCCTTCTTAGAAAGCTTATTTTATGTATGAACGCTGCTCTGCATGGGGTCGATGTGAAGTGAACGGATGCTGAAAGCAAGCGCTGCACACCAAGTCCTTTACCTGACTGGTTTTCTCTCAGGGCCAATGTCTCTGCAACCCAACTTTTCCAGCCTGCAGCGCCTGTACGACTCATAATAAGCACGAGTCTTCTCCTTTAAATCTTCCATATTTGTGCAAAGCATCCTGCGGAGCTTTATAGTGTCACAGTGGTTCTCATTTTCCACTAATCAGTAAAGAAAATTATTTTATTATTATGCAGAAGTAGCAGAATAGTCAAAATACATTATAAACATCATCACTTACTTTGTTCACTAAATATACTTCTAGAGAAAGGTATCTTGCTGTTTATTATATCTCTTACACTTCTGTATAATTTTTAATATACACACTGAAGTACTGAAGACTTGTAAGTACTGGTGAACATATTTCAACCTGTCCCAATTTGCTGCTTGAGCTGAAGACCACCACATTTATCTCTTTTTTAACCCTCTTTACTGACAATCACAAATGCTTGAAATTTGGTAGTGCTAGAGGTACTGCCACTATCTTAACCTACCCAAACACTACATACACCATCTCATACTTTGATCCCAAGAATGAACCAGTGTGGATGAAATTACAAGTTAGTGCATGTCTCAAGTATTAATTGCTATATTCCTGATACTGTATATATATTCCTTATATTCCTTATACTGGCATCAGTGAAAGAGCCCCTTGTATTACTGGTGAATTTTATACTTCAACAATAGCAAAAGCTCATAAAGATACTTTTAACAATTCTTTTACCTTTTACAATGCCCCAAGGGTATTGACGAGCTCTCACCATTTTGTTTCCAATTTTCACCTTCTCCATACTTCCTACCACAGCAAATGGCAAATAACCCTGTGGGAAATATACCAATTAAGTCTTACCTGTCTGCACTCTTACATAAAAAACAGAGAAACGCCTCAGAAATAAATTAGGGAGGAAAACACCATTTCAGGAAAAGCCAACAAGCAGTTTAAAACCAGAAACCACCCCTAGGAGATCAGCAGCTACGCAGTATCTACTGATAAAAAAACTATTAACTACAATAGAAGATGAGGAGCAGTTGATAGATCCAGATGGGTGTACTGACAACTCAGGGGAACCTCAACAGGCTGGAGAAATGGGACAACAGGCACCTCACGAAGTGGAAACGAGAGCAATGCTAAGTCCTGCATGTCAGGAGGAATAAGCCCATGCCCCAGCACATGCTGGGGGGCCAACACTCAGGAAAGGCACTTTGTAGAATAACCTGGTGAACAGCAGGTTGTTCCTGATTCAGCAGGTCTGTCCCAAGGGCAAAGGCAGCTAACTACACCCTGAGCTGCACTAGGAAATGTCAGCCCCAAACAGAAAACTGCTCTAGAACATATGACTCACATTCAATCAGAGCTCATAGTAACACTCACATGACAATCACACATTGGAACCTGTGCTGTGGTTACTGCTGTGGGCTTGGCACAAAGATAGGCTGGGCACTGACTGCCTGCGTGCTGACCCACAACAGCTGACCAAATAAAGAAACATCATTACCTGGAAAATAAATCACTAGCAGAGCATGGAAGTGGTAAGTAACAAACCACCACGTTTCCCCACAGCAAAAGGACCTGTTACTGATGGACAGCTGCACATTGTCACTCCCTGGCCAGGTAACAGAGGTTGGGAATGCACAGCCATGGGCTCCGGCATCCTGGCTCCTGTTCCCTACTTTCAAACCCCCGTACACACAAACACGATCATGTGCACCTACAAACACACACACAAGAGCAGCAAACACAGAGCACTCAAGGCAAAGCCATCTAGCTTCACAGCCTTAGCTGAGAGCTGGCAGCTACCCCTGGGACAGCTGGAAAGGACAACCGAAAATAAGCCAGTTACATCTGACTACTTCTTCCCCAGGGAAAATCTGTCCTAATTTCAAAAGAAAGTACTAAATAAAAGAAAAAATGCAGGTGTAAGACTTGCTGTTGTAGAAAGTTGTAGACATAAGGCACCTAAATATCTTCTCTACCAGATGTAAAATTGTATCTGTTGAGGAAAAGAGCAAAGTCAATCTGTCCATCTATAATAGTAATTATATATTAATTAACCAGATATTAGAAAAACCATTTATGCATGAGAACCTCTTTTCTGTTACAGGTATCAACAGCAGAGGGGCAGGAAGATTTCCAAGTAGGGAAAAAAACCCCAACACATAAGAAGAATAAACAAACTCGTGACATGCAAACTTACAAGTTTAAAGACAATGGTGAAAGCAGCAACATTAATCAGCATTAGAGAATGATACTTTAGTACTGAAATAACATTTTTGTCATTTACTTACATTTGTGATAGTATTAATCTCAGAAACGGTTTCATCATCAGTAGGAAACTGGTATATTCGGATGCCGTTGCTAGCTAATTCACTCATTATTTTCTTCTTGAACTCCTGTAGCTCAGTTTTAGAAATGCTGTCTGCTTTGCCTATAACTGGTATAATATTCACCTAGGAATGACATAAATTACATGAAATGTGTGAGAATTCAATTTTGAGGTGGCAACTTTTGTAAATAGAATTGTTATTAATTAGCTGTTTAAAACTTCCTCTGCAGTCTAAACTTTTCCATCAAGTGATATCAAATTTTCACGAACAATAAAAAATATTCTCATGGGCATCATTCAACTAACTAGCAACCAATTATTCAATATACACCCTTAAAAGTAATTGATTCTAAGAACAAGGAAGGAGGTCTCATAGAGCGAAGTACTCAAATGCAAGTAATGCCTATTTATTAACTAAATGCCATTAAGTAATTATATCTCTGTTTAAAAAAAATCGATTGTTTAGTTTAAAGCAGCAGGGGACACGGCTCAGGTGTTAAATGAAAGCTGGCAGTCTAAACACAGAAAGAAAAGGAAGCTGGCTACCAAACCCTGCCTGCCCCTGAGCCTCTTCCTGGGTTCCTTTCAGCTACATCTTCACCTCACCACTGCAGCACAGTTTCTCCAGTATCTGACATGAGCAGAGGAATAACAAAGGCTAAAGGTTCTTGCTTACCAGTCTTTACTAAGCTGATTATTCAGACCACAGAATTCAGTTCCATTAAACTGCCCTATTTCCTAAAATAGTGATGGCAGTAACTTGGAAGTAATAGACGCCAATTTTTTCTTACAAATGCTATCACTACACCCAAAATACACATTTTTCAGAACTAAATGGAAATAATTAATGCCCAAATGGAAATAAATTGAAATAATTAATATCCAAATATTTTGAAAGAACATCATAAATAACTCTTTCAGATTTCAGAAGATGAAGTGTTTTACAGAGTTCCTTGATCACAGATGCAAAAAGGAAGGAGAGAAAAAGAAAACAGAAAAAAAAGATACACACTTTCTATTCTTCTGAATATTCTGCCTGAATGGAAATGCCTAAATGTCAAGAACAGATTCAAAATTGATATTTTGAAATAAGACTTCTGTCTTAAGCACAATGTCCCAAAGAAAAAGAAGGAAGCCAGCTCTGAAGTATGACTTCCAAGATTACCTGATGATAGTCCTTAATTGTGTAGCATACATGATCTAAGCATACATGGGGTAAAATATCTAAAATCAAATAAAATTATGGAATATATTTTTCTAATAACTGAACTCATTTAGAATAAACAATCTGTTACACTAGGAGTAATTCACATCTTTGATCAAATTAGCTGAGAGACAACAACGTAAGTTTTCTCCAATATAGATCTAAAAATGGATGGAACACAGAGTCCTCAGAATTAAATTAATCTCTACTCTTTTTCAACACCAAAGTTCTCTTTTCAATGTGAACCTTTTTCAAGCACTCACTAATTAGGAGAGAATTTCTTAGAAAACAGAAAACAAATAGCAGAGAAAGTCTACGAAGAAGAACAGTAAAATGAAAAATCATCAGAAACTGTGATTCCAGCTATCAACATTGACATTAAATCACCACAACTGTATAAAATTGAAAAGCATAAAATTAACTCTGGCTTTAGATAAGCAATAAAGAAGGAAAATAAATACATGTAATTGAAATCATTGTTGGTTGCAAGAGCAAGCTGATTGAAGTGTACCTCTGTGAATCAATATAAAAATTTCTGAAGATTCTTTCTGCATGGAAAAAACCCAAACTAAATCCCCATGATACTTTACTGACTTAGCCATAACCTGCATACAATTCTGTGACAATGAATTACAACTGCAGAGCTCTTAGTTGAATAATCACTATTTCCAGAAGGAAAGAGAACAGGAAAAGATCCCCTTTGTCTGTGAATGAAACCTGGCTGCTCTGTAGTGATGTCATCCGAAGCAAAACTAGAGGATTTTTCAGTGTCTAAATGCTAGAGCCCAAATTCTTAGCTATTCATCCAATTCATAATAGAGAAAAATAAATTGACCATAGATACTCTGTTTTTTTCTTCAAGGACTGCAGAGTACAGGATGAACCTAATCTATCCCAAGAACCCTCTGTACCTCTGAGCTGTGTAATCTGCTATTGTTTTGTAGCAGCAGACCATAACAAAAGTACACAGCGTACACTGCAGTGGATTCAGGAAGAAACTCAAGACAGCTTTCTACATAGATTTACACATTTGATGGATGCATGTGGCTGTACCATCTTCTCTTTATGGAATCCTGTACTCAGCAAATACACCCAGGGACTCCCATATCCACGGAAATTGCCAGTTCTTAACTGCCACTAGGAGAATGCAGTACTAAAAGCACCACAAACGTGCTCCACAACAAGATGGAAACAAAACTACAGTTAAACACATAACTCTTTCTGTGTGTACAGGGATATTTCTGTAGTAAGATCAGAAAGAATCCATTGCAAATGGACAAAACAACAGAGTTACATGTGGTTTATGCTCTCTCTGTGCCAAAACAGAATTAAAAATTTTTGCAGTAGGTGGCTAGAAGCCGAAATTTCCTCAAAGCAGAATTACTTTTGGTTTATCCTGATGGAAGTATTTTCTTAGGATGCTGGAATTCAAAGATCTATATCCTTTTAATTTGAAAGAAACACTGTTTTAAAAGAAATTCAGTAAAGAGCAGGCACAACCTAAAAATAGCACACAGAAATGTGCTCTCCCCTGCCTTTGTACCACCATACCTTCCCTTCTCTGCTATTGAGAAGCTCAGAATGCAAAATACATCTACAAACAAAGTAATAAAAATCCCAAATGTGCTTATCAAACACAAATGTGGCCTAGACAGCTAATTTAATCCTTGCTATCTTGGAAAAAACTTCTCAGAAACAAGAAAACGCAGGAAGAAAATTTAGTGGGAGGGCTCTAGTACAGCACAAAGAAAAAGGCGAAAGGCACAGCAAATGCATTTAAGTTTCAAAATTTTCAACAATTCAACAAATTAAATCCAAATAATAAAAGGTTTCTTAAAATACGTTAAACATTTAGCTTCACACAGCCCCATTACATGAAGAAAGTTATGGATTTAGAAAATGCAAGTAATTTCACTAGAAACTGCTACTTCAAAGCTTTTCTAAATCAGTATGTTAAAACACTACTGCAGCCTGCCACAGAAAAAGCCACATTGGCAGAGTTCTCTGTTCAAGGCTCTTCATGCCTCTTCAGTTATCTAAAATGAAGATCTTCAGTGTTGCAGAGTTTTTTAGATGCCAACTTTCCAGCAGTCCAAAAACTAGAAACAAGCTTAATTAGAAATAGTAAAGTACTTACAGAAGGTACACTATCCAATCTCACTACAATGTTTAGGGTTTAATAAAAGTGAAGTTGGTGTGGTTCTACTTTTTTTTTACATTTTTTAAACTTCATTGTGCTTCTTTTTTCAATGTTCTTACCATATGTCTCTCTCTTTGTGATTTGAAAATAAACAAGTGATGAACTGCAAGCTACTTGCAGAGCCCATTTATTCAGAACTTAAAGTATATCAGTACCAAAAAAACATTACAAAACCAAATGCGTCAATATAGAACTGAAACATGGTAGTGGACCTGAAGGCTACAAGATGCTTTAGAAAGTAAGACAAATTCTTGGAACTGTTTCCAAGTCTTACCTTACTGTCTAGGCTTCTCATAGTTAACAAATCTATGGTTTTTAGAGAACGGCCTGTAGGTGAAATGAAATAGAGGCAGACATGGATGCGAGTATCATGGTAGCTAAATAAAGAACGTATAACTTTCAGTTCTTCCTCGAGATAGGCTTCAAATTGTGCATCTACATAATCCACTATTGGCTGATAGCTGTAGGAAATAAAATTTAACAACCAGATATTAGCTACTCCTAAACAGAGACAGACTAAGAAGGGATTCTCTTGTATTGTTCTGCAGATTTTTCATGTCAAAAGGCTGCTCAAGTAGGGCAGAAAATTATGTGTACAGACTAATCCTAATTTCTGAAAAGCTACTCAAAAAAGAATTGTGCATCTAATACAAACAAAATATTTCCCAAATACCATTAGTGAAAAAGTTACATAAAGTTAATTATGGTTATAACCAAACTTCCCAAGTGATGTTTTTAAATTTTTGCAATTAAGTTGTGCAAATGCAGAACTCTTAAATATAAGGAAATTACAACAACCTCTTAGGTACAATACAAGAAAGAATATTGAACTAATAGTACCAAGAAACAGGATGAACTTTATCTTCTGAAGTACCGTACGTGAGAGAGCTCTTAAACAATAGACAAAAACTAAAATGAGAAATGCTAGAGAATAAAAAACTACCGATTTATAGTAAGTACAGTTTAAGTACACTTTATCCTACCTAAAACCAGATTCTAATGTGCTTTCAAAAATAATGTTTTGCTAGATGCAGAAGCAGTGCACCCTTACATTTCTTCTGCTCCACAAAGTTTACAAACCAGATCAAATGCTACTGAAATCCAGAATAAGGTGTTACACACAAAATCAAAAGAACAAAAAGGCACCTCCTATACCACACATCAAAACCTCTAATAGCTATACTAGTATCTACTTGCATCTCCTTCATCCAATTCACCAGCAGCAGCTATTATCCAGTCATATCATAAGCCACAGCTGTCATATAAACTTAAGGTGACTCTCTAACCTTTTATTATATGAGTACCACCATTTAGGTACTCACATGGCATAAATTATTTACAATTACGTTGAAAGAAAAGATCTGCTGAGTTAGTTCAGTCCTATAAAAAAAGTCATGAAAGCACAGACTCAAAAAAAGTTCAGCACACTGAAACACCAGTGTGCTGCCTCTACATCTTCTGACTAAGCTGACTGACACAAAAAACAAAGACCTTCGGTAATCCACATGATTAAACTTCCAGTTTAAGGTCTTCAACAAGTTACAGTCAAATTGTTAAAAACCCTGTTAAAAACAGTACTTTATAATCTGCTTGGCTATTTAAAAACCCACCCACTGAACTCCCTGCTTTTCTCCACCCCAAAAGAAACTACTGCATATACAAACATTTATAAAAGATTAAGAAAGAAAAGATTTCATAAAGAAAAGGGCATAGTTCATCTGAATTATAAAATAATTCCTTACATGAGAAGAACAATGTGTTTACTTTGGCACACAGGGAAAACAGTTAACCATCTATTTGGAACACATGTTAAACAACCACTTACTACAAAGCCCAAAGAAAAATCAACTTGCACTTAAGACCAAAACTTCAGCAGAACATAGTGGCAAGAGGGCACTTACCTATCTGCTTTGTTCACCTGGTCACCAAACCCCACTGTTTTTACAACTGTCAGCTTCAAAAGAACATCACTTTCCTGGAGTTCAAAAGTCTGGGCTCTAAGTCGCACACTTGACAGAAAATGTGTTGATGGAGAGTCCTCAAAATCAGTGTTAAACAAACTGCTCACCAAGGCTGACTTCCCAATTCCAGTTTCCCCTGAAGTTAAACAGAAGGGTTGGAGAAGACATTTTTCACATCAAATAAATACATAATAATCACAGAAAGTGTACACAAAAACTCAACTGATTTCTCTGAGCAAAATTGCGCATCTGTGCATTCTTTTAGTGAACCCTAAATATATTTTCATTAGTATTTTCATCCTACATATAAAGGTAAATTGTCAGCTAATGAGTAATGAGCAGAACAGTGTCGTGACACTTTGGTTTCTTTAAAAGCCTGAATTAATTTCCTACAGATTTTTAAAAGTTAAGAAGCTAGCTGTGAAACCAGAGATTCAAGAAAGGTCTTTTAAGAATAAGGGCAAAATATTAGAGCAAAACATTTGATAAGTACAGAAACACTTCAGTATTACCACCTTTGAATTTCAGAATTTTTTAAATCTGGAGCTCTTTGTTACAGGTGTAAGCCCCATTCACTCAAAAAAATCCAAAAGGCTGCTGATAAATGAATAAATGACTGGCATCCACTTTCAACATTTTTTGGTCTTCACACTGTTTACGAAAATGCTACATACAAACCCAAATAAACAAAGCTGGGAGAAGGGGTGGAATTACAGTTCATGCTTAACATTAAAGAAACTATTTAACACCACAATGGGATTTAAATTTCAGTCACTTCCTAAGATGAGTATACCACTAAAGCCTTTTGGCACCCAGACGCTACTCACCAATGCAAAGAATGTTGAAGCACAAGCCATGCTTGATGGATTTCCTAATCAGTTGGTCAGGTAAGCTATCAAACCCAACATGTGCAGACAAGGACAAAGTTCGACAGCCAACACTTTGCTGCAAAAAATAATTTTAAAATATCAGTTAACAATGGAAATAAAAATTCTACTAGAAAGCTAGAACTCGTTCCTTATGATTTCACATGCAATGAAGAAAAGCCAAAGTCTGAAAAAAAAAAGACCTGTCAAATGAGCTTTATTCCATGATTTGAGGAAAAAATTAAATTTACTTTACAGAACAATTTGCAGGCTTAAAAGAAAAAAGAAAAACAAAGGGAAAAAAAAACCCCAAACCAAACAACCTTATGAAACGTGAATGAAATAAAGTAGACAAGTCCAATTGAAAATGTAAACTGAAAACTGTAGATAGAAAATACATCACAGTTGGTTTGCTCCTAGAAAATAGGAAAAAGTACTAAAAAAAATCTAAGCATTAGAATTCAAAATAGAAAGCATAATCAGAGGAAGGTGTGTGTTACCAAACGGAACTCATTCTGAGGAGCTGGAACTGAAATTACTATTTCTGTCAACTAAAACATTATCTGCACTCATTATATGCACCTGAACTCTGAGACAGCATTACATCTATTTCATTAGAAATATCTAAAGGTGCACATTCCTTTTCAAACATCAGCCAGCAATCTAGAACCATGACATCAAGGCAGTGAGCACACTAAAATGCATAAGGCTAAACGGAAACATCTTGATCCATAGAAATTAACTGTATTTTTAAACAAACATTGCATACCATAAGTAGAAATGGTGACAGGTCCATGCTATTCTTTCTCTTATATTTCCAATCCAAATGGAAATGGAAACCATTACTGTTTCCTGTGAATATGCACATGGTGAACAGTAGGAAACTTTTTAATTTAACACTTAAAACCCCATTAAAGTGACACCTTTTCTAATAGGTATGCATAGCAAGTCTCAGAATTCTAACAGCTAGAAGGATATGGATATTCCTCAAGGCATATACTCATCCTCTTCTTTATTTGCACAGGACTTCCTAGTATGGACTTAGAGATTGCACTGCACTAAACTGCACCAACTCTCATTTTACATTCCTCTAATTAGATCATTCCATTTTAGACTAATGAGGGAAAATGCATATGCAAAGTGAACTCCTTAAAGACAAAATATGACATCTTTGGGTTATTAAAAAACAAGTACATTCAAAGCATGTCAGAAAACAAAATTTCTCAAGGCATTCTACCAGAGGAAAATTACTATTAAAAAGTGCTGAGAATCACTGAGACCTGTCAGTTTCCTGTCCATTTAAAGACAAGTGCATCTGAGACAGAATGGCTGCACATCTAAGATCTCTAGCTACTCAGTCTGATACTCAAAGCACCTCTATTGCCACAAGGAGAAGACAGTTCCTCTAACACAAACCACTCAGCCTCCACACCAAAAGCCAGTGCAAGAGGCTCAGCATGACTGGAGAAGGGAGGCCTTTCACCTTCACGTCATCAGCCTAAATCCCAGCCTCTGCACTGCCATTTGTAATTCTCCAAACAAAAAAAAAACCCACGCAGGAATAAATTTATTTCCTTCTTATGTCCAGATGTTAGAAAGATAAATTATTTTGTCAGCAAAATTGCCTTGCTAATGCTTAGGGCTTGACATGCCTCGATGATCTCAGACCTGGAGGAGGTTAACAAAGCCTGGGGACAAGGATGTACTAATGAGAGTGGACACAAAAAAATTAAAATTTATGGGCCACAAGGACATTTGGCAGAACACCCAATATAAGGAAGAAACTAACAAAGCCAACTCAGCAACTATGCTGAAATCAACTGACTCAGCTCTGAGGAAATTTTAGCAGGAGGAGATTGTGACCACCAACTCAAGAAACCCACCAACTCAACAGAGATAAACTGCGAATGTGAACTAATTAGCATGACAAACGAGAGAATCACTAACCAACAGAAGGTAGAAGACTAATTAAGAAAACTATGCAACTAGTAGCCAATGCCCCTTGATTTCCTTGTTTGCTAAAATCTATAAATGTCGTTTTGATGACTGGGCAGCTAGCATTTTGTGGGTTATCACCTAGCACCCCACTTTGCACAAACTAGAATAAAGAAATAGAAGTAGCTTGCCTCAGTGTTTAAATTGCTGCTGCCTACCAAGCAGGGAGCACTCCTTCAGGACAACACCTCCCTTCCTTACACAGAAATCACTGTGTAAACCTATTCCACCTGAAGCATTGTCTTAATAGAAAAGCAGTAGCCATATTTTTCCTTCTGAAATTTTCCACGGACATAGGTGTCTGTCCCTCTGCTATTGTCTAACAAATAAGCAGAGAAATCAAGTCCACAAAACTGACCACAGGATATCTGCATTCTTACTACTTCTAAAAGAAATATCACGTAGTTGATCACCTAATTGACATCACCTAAACTACATCTCATTCCTTCCCTCAACCCCATTTTTGAAGGTTGGTGCCATAACTGATGTGTCTGGATTTCTCCAGATCCGTTAAACTGGATGGGGATCTGAGCAACATGGTCTAGTGAAAACTGTCCCTGCCCAGAGCAGGAGGGCTGGAACCAGTCTTTTTGAGATCCCTTCCAACCCAAACCATTCTAAGATTCTACGATTTCATCAAATATTTTGGTTTATATAAAGTTTTCTTGCCCATTAAAAACAGCATGAAAAAAGCCATAGCCTGAGATGGTGGAACATTTAAAAATTATTATTTCTTTCAGAAACTAAAAAAAAAAAAAAAAAAAAGTAATCTAAACCTGTGCAGAACCAGACTAGAGACTAGCAGTCTAAGCAAGAAACTAGCTTGCTACTGGATTTGCAGATGTGACTGGAATTTGCCCTCCAAAACTCAAAGAAAACCGTAACCAGTGCGTGATTATGCAGGGGGTGAGGGTCCCGCCAGCCCCGGCGGCTACGCCGAGCTCCTGGGAAGGATGCCGCGCCCGTGGACATCCCGCCATTAACGCGCCCATGGGCACCCAAATCTGACTCTTCCTGAGCCCCGAGTTTTCCACTACTACCTACAGGCACAGGAGCTACGCTCCAGCACTGTCCTGTGGATGGGCTCAATATATTCAGGACATAAAGCTGACAGCTTGGCCATCACACAGAAGTAACTCTTCAGTAGGTATGATTCAACTTATTGCCTGAAATACGCGATACGCCACGGGAGCGCTAGGAAGAGTGACACCTGAAAACAAGTTCCTTTAACAACAACTGCTCTAGAAGTCTGGCAGCTCTGAGAACTAGACGGCGTGAGGCAGGAGCCTTCATCCGCCCCCCTAACCCGACCCCCACCAGCGCCCGGCACGGGCCAGGGGCAGAGCCCGGTGCCCCGCAGCGAGGTACAGGCGGCACTTCCACCTCTTCGCACGGTGCGACCGCCACCCTCCTTCGCCTCCCGGTGCCGTCCCCCTCCGTCCCCTCAGCCGCGTCGGGCTCACCCCGGGCACAGGGGCTGCTCACCAGCCGCTCCCCGCACCGCGGAGGGGACTTACCAGGTGCCCGTCGGCATCGGAAGCAGCCATAGCCCCGCCAGAGAGATAGAGAAGGAGGGAGGAGAGTAGGAAGATAAGGACACGGCCAAAACTGCCGCCGAAAGGGAGAGCCACGCGGCGGGGAGGAGCGCGGGGAGGGGATGCGGTCGCGGCTCCGCCGCCGGGGCGGGCGCTGTTGGCGGGCGCCTCCCGGCCGGAGGGCGGCGCGGTGCCGCCGCCGCGGCAGTGATTGCCGGGCATGCTGCCGCCGGGAGGAGGGGCTCGGGCAGCAGCGGCTGTACCGCGCCCGCACCGCCACTGCCACCACCATCTCCAGCAGCGGCAGTAGCAGCAGGAGGAGCGCCGTGATGGGGTAGCGGCGGCGATGGCGGAGCCGGCGGAGCTGCAGCAGGAGTCCGTGGTGCGGTTTCTGGCGGCGCGGGGCGGGCGGGCGCGCAACGCGGAGCTGCTGGAGCATTTCCGGGACTGGCTGAACCCCGCGGATCCCTCCCGCCGCGCCGCCGCCCGGCATCGCTTCAAGGAGCTGGTCAACGCAGTGGCCACCGTGCGCCAGGAGCCCGGCACCGGCGTCAAGTACGTGCACCTCCGCCGCCGGTACTGCGCTCCCGAGCCCCCTGCCGCCGCCCCCCTGACCCCCGGGGAGCAGGAGCCGGCGGCGGAGAACAGCGCGAAGCAGCCGAGCCCGCCGCCCTCCCCACGGGCAGACGCTGAGGAGACGCCGCCGGCAACAGGCGAGGATGCCGGCAGCCGCCCGCAGCCCCCGGGGCAGCGGGGCGAGCCGCCCCGGCCGAGCCCGGCGGTGGCTGGAGGCCAGCGGAGGGGCTCCCGGCGGGGGCCACCGCCCGGGCGCGGCGAAGGCGGCGGCGGCAGCGAGGAGCCACGGGCAGACGCTGAGGAGACGCCGCCGGCAACAGGCGAGGATGCCGGCAGCCGCCCGCAGCCCCCGGGGCAGCGGGGCGAGCCGCCCCGGCCGAGCCCGGCGGTGGCTGGAGGCCAGCGGAGGGGCTCCCGGCGGGGGCCACCGCCCGGGCGCGGCGAAGGCGGTGGCGGCAGCGAGGAGACCGCGATAGCGACGGGCCCGGGGCGGCCCCCGGCGACGGACGAGGCGGGGGCGGCGGAGGGAGCGCCCGGGGCGGCGGCGCAGGGCGGCGGCCGGCGGAGCCTGCGGGAGGCGGCGCGGGGCAGCTCCCCTCAGCTGAAGCGCGGCGCCCTCCCCAGCGGGGGCCGCGGCCGCGACTCGGACAGCGCCTCGGTGGCCTCGTCCTCCGCCGAGGAGGAGGGGAGCACCACCGGCTCCGTGGCACTGGACCCCCTGGAGCACGCCTGGATGCTGTCGGCCTCGGACGGGCGGTGGGAGAGCCTGGAGGGGCTGCTGAGCTGCGAGCCGGCGTTGCTCTGCAAGCGGGACTTTATCACCGGCTTCACAGTGCTGCACTGGGCCGCCAAGCACGGGCGGCAGGAGCTGCTGGCCACGCTGGTCAACTTCGCCCAGCGGCACGGGCTGCCCGTGGACATCAACGCCCGCACGAGCGGCGGGCACACGGCGCTGCACATCGCCGCCATGCACGGCCACGCCGAGGTCGTGAAGCTGCTGGTGGGAGCCTACGACGCCGACGTGGACATCCGCGACTACAGCGGGCGCAAGGCCGCGCAGTACCTGCAGCAGGGCACCTCGGGGGACATGCGGAACCTCGTGGGGGCCCTGGAGGAGGAGGAGGAGGAGGAAGGGAATGCTGGCAATGGGAGCGGGCGCTGGAGGCTCTCCAAGGTGTTGCCAACTAATCTCATGAACTACCGGCTCTCCCACCACCATCACGGCACTGGCGAGGAAGCTGAAGGTACCGATGGGGCAGCGGTGCCGGGCAAAGGCAAGGAGATGTCCAGGAAAGCCTCTGGCAGCGGACGGATGAAGCCTCGGCTTAATAAGATCCGCTTCAGGACTCAGATCATCCACAACACGCCCTCCTTTCGTGGTGACGCTGAGGAGGAAGAGCATGAGGAGAAATCCCTGAAATCATCATTCAAGCTCAGGCCGAAGTCCAACGTGTTTGGATAAGGCCAGGCAGCAGGAGGTCTGGGAGGTGGATGCACGGACCAAAGTGCCCTCAGGTGTAGCACAGAAGGTGAGGCAGGTACGAGTGGGTGCTCATCTACACTCGTGGACTCCGCCAGAAGGGTCCTGAGTATCTTGCTTTAACTCCCAGTTCGGTGTGGTCAGTGAGCCCAGCAGGTCAGCAGGGCTCTAGGAGCTCACAGCTCCTGGGAGCAGCTGCTTCAGCCAGGCCCTCAGTGCTGAAATGGAAGGCAGTGGGTGGGTTGAGAAACACTGGGGTGTTTAAAAGCTGTCCTCCTTTCTCTCTAAAACCAGGCTTTGGTATCGTAAACCTGTGTTAGTGGATCTGCTAGGATTAGTGAAGTGAGTGGGGGAAAGAAAAGTGCAAATGCTTTACTCTTACATTATCAACTGGTACTATAAACTATCATCAAACAACTTGCTGTGACAGAAGAACACCTCAGTAATATACAAGTATACCTTAAGTTTCTCTTTAACAGCAATACCACCTGGCACAGTGTGGAGTTGGGTACACAAAATGAGATGGTACAGAATGGTTTCCTGTCAGAATCCAAGCTTCAATCCATCAAAGAGTTGAGCCTGTGTTGACTTTATGCATTGAAAATTGCTTAATTTGACATCATGAATATATTATTTTAAAAAGTAATAATCCATTGCACTGCAAGCAATGAATAAAGTTAACCACGTGCAGAAGTCTTTGCTGTCTGAGGTACTACTGAGCTTGCTTATCGCTGTTGGAATACTAATACAAGATAATAGAAGCAAAGAGTTTTTATATATATTTGGTATCTTATGTTTTGTCTTAGGCAAAGCAATTTTATTTTAATCACTGTGAATTCTCAAGTGCCAGACCTAGCGCAGTTCCGGTTATTAAGTCTGGTCAATTCATGTTAATGTTCTTTGTGTAACTCACTGCATTTAAAAATCAGAAAATCGTGTTGTATGTGTTACCTGTGAAAGTCGTTCTCTTTTAGAATAAAAGGGCACAGACACCATTGCATGAAATCTTCATGAAACTCTAATATGGTTCTGTAATGTAATAGCTACAGGTCTGTGTCCGCTGGTAACTTGTGTGCCAATCCCATCACTTTACACTGTGCGGAAATAGACAAAAAAGGGGAAGAAAACAAAAAAAAGGAAGGTGTGTGAATTCATGCGTAGGGTGAAAAACTAGAGCTCCAAAACTCAATCCCTGTTTATCATTCTGAATGAAGCAGCATAATTACATATTCTAGTTAAGTGGTGGCAGTGGTGTTTGAGTTCTTTTAAACATATATTTCTAGAGCAGTGATAGCCAAGGCTTTGAACTGTTGTTTGACAGCCTAGTAAGTCTTACTCTGATTGACGAGCCTATCCGTCTGCTAAAGCTTTCGGAAACCTTGAATCTTGTTTCTCTGCTAAAGGTAGCAGCTCCAGTGAAATCTAGGAGGCAGATTTATATCCATATTCAGCTTTCCTTAAGAGCTGAGGTATTGAGCTGACCCTGGATCCTGAATGCTGCTCAGTGTAGCAGCTCATCTGTGTTTAGTCGTTAAAGTATGGCCAGTTTCAATGCAGCATTTGTCAAAGCACGTTTTGAGTTGGCTTCCTTTAGATGCATGTGCGTGCCTGGCCTGTAGTTAACCAAAAGTAGATAGGCTTTGACATGTTAAAATCCAAATTTGAAACACTGATTAAATGCATGCCACAAGCTGTAGAACACCTCACAGGAAAACTGCTGCTGGGAGTGTGCACTTTTGAGGTAACAGCTGGCTCTCTGTGGCTGTTGCTAGTGACTTATATTTCTTGTAGCGACGGGAAGGAAGTGCTACTGATGCATTGGCATCAGACTTTCCATGCAGATAAACAACGTTTCTGCACTTCATGTCAAGACCTAATAAATGACAGTGTTTGCACAGGCATGCAAGCGACACTTAACTATTTCTGGAAAAAGCTGCGTTAAAAATAATACAGAACCTCTGCATAGGTGCTGGTCATTACTTCTGTGCAAAAAGACTAGAGATTATAGTGAGGTTCAGCTTTAGTTTACAATTTATAAGCTATAATGTTACAGATTTCATGTGCCTTCATTTTGGGTTGGTTGCCTCAAATGCAATGGATAAAATCAGTCTTGCAAAGCACTTTTTCTTTATGTCTGTGGGACAGGACTAGAAATCTTCCCTCAGTCCTCCCTGTTTAAACTGGACTTCTGTACAGTGGGGTGTCTGAAACAGGGAGGGTTAATCATACATATTATGATGTAGAGCTAATTCTGTTGTAACAGAAAAATAGTTAGATGCTTATGTCTTAAACTTTTCTCTGCAGGATAAATAGGTTTTTAGACTTCTGTAGGAAGGAAGTTTTCTGACTGAACACTTAAAATGTGAGTATTCTTCAGTGTGGGCACATCTGAATTGAGCACATATTCCATGCAACTACTGATGTCCAAACTTTATTAAAGTTGTTTTCTGCTTTGAGAGTTTATAGTTCTTTCATACAGGCTGTTGGGTGAAGTGTTTCTCTCTTCACATGCAAGTAGCAAAGAATTGCACAAAAATACCAAGTCTTCAGCAGCTATTAGGTTCTAGGGAAATAATTTTAGGGTTTTAAATAGAGCATATCTTGGATTTTAAGAGATGAACTGGAATATAGTGTTACATAATACAGTAGAACTTTGCAAATTATTAAGGGAACTTGAAAAATGATGAAAAGATGCTTCATTTACATCATTATTTGAAGTATCAAAGTGAAATTGCTGGTCCACTGATACTATTTAGCTGTCAGTTAATGAAATCTCACCATAACGGTCCAAAGGTCTTTGCAACAGAGCAAATATCTCTTCTGGTGTTTGAGATATACAAAAGAATGGCTGGATAACCACTCGTGTCTCTCTGCGCTATGGGAATAAAGCACTTTGATTTCACATTATGACTTGTCACATTCCACATGGTTACTTTTTATAATATGACCTAAAACT